ACACACACACACACACACCTGTCATTCCCTCAACTATACCGCCCCCTAGTGGAGATCCGTGAGAAGAATCAGAGCTCAGGCTGTTCAGTAGGGAAGTAGAGATCTTTCTAAGTGGAGGAGCTGTGGCCACTTCTAGATCTGTCCAGTTGGAGCCATTTGCAGCAGATGTCCTGCTTTTAAAAGACACAACATCATCCCATCATGACTCGTTCATTTGGCCGCGATATCACGAGTCAGCATTTAATTTAAATATGGACTCAGACAGACAGACAGACAGACAGACAGACAGACAGACAGACAGACAGATAAGTGAACCATCACCAGTGTCCAGCTTCATAATTCATTTTATTTATCATAAATAAAAAAAACAAAGTATCAGATCTGTAAAAATGATGTTTCACAGTGTTGTTAAACTTTGAGGAGTAAATACAAAGAAACGCTCACATTCAGCACAGCAACACAACAACAGAATCCAACTGCTTTAAGGTTTCTGTGGCACTTTTCTACTTGGCTTATTAGAGAGGGAGAGAGAGAGAGAGAGAGAGAGAGAGAGAGAGAGAGAGAGAGACACCTCACACAAGAACTGTACTTTATAATACACACTGTACACAGCACTGTCAATGTGGCAAACTGATCCGAGAAATCAGCTACATTCAAAACGTAGAAAACAAAGCTACTGAGGGAGAAAACAAAAAAACAAAGAATTCAATGAAATGCTGCAATTCTGCTCATGGACAATGAGACAAATAAAAGTGCAAGTAAGAGCTTCAGGAAGAAAGACGTGCTCAGTTTTTAACAAGAAACTTTAGGTTTGTAACTCAAAGTTGGGACCAAAACAACCCACGTCACAGGATATATGACACACACAGTTTTAACAGTGTGGAGGTTTAAAGCATTATTAATATGGCAGCTGCTTTAAACCAAAATATAACGTTCCACAGTCCAGACAAAACATTTCTTATCAAGCGCTGCAACATGGTAAGAAGGGAGTGTTTCTAAAATATAGTCAATTCTGCTTAGACTGTAGTTGTATTCCAACAAAACATTGTACGTTTTTTATTCCCTTTTGGTTTTCAACAGTTTTCTTCATCTAATTTAATGAATAAGAAGAAATATCAGTGTAACATGATAAAGACAAACTAATTCAGCAAATGTTGTGATGCCTTTGCAGAAGTGAGGAATTCTCAGAAGCCAGTTATGAAACTTTTGTGTGAAGTTATTCTGGAAAGCAAATTAAGAAAATATCCAGTTTAAAATACACTGAATATGTTTTTTTTTCAGCCCAGGGGGAATTGCATTTGTAAAATACTTTTAAAATAAACTTGTACACGTCAGGAGTGGCTCAAATGAAGACAAACATATGGATGCAAAGTGCAAAACTACAGGTAATAGAACTTTCTCAGAGGCACTCCTGTAGAGGGGTAAAGTAAAGGTGCTTTGCCGGTAAGTGCTACTTACCATGATGGAGGAGATGGAGGGTGTAATGTCACTGAGGGATGTAACGAGTCTTAACACAAACAGCTTCCTGAAAAATGAAACAACCTGTGTGCGCAAAACCACCTCCACCCCTCCAAATGAAATAAACTGCTCAAAATTCAAACCATAGACGAAGCAGTAAATGGAAGACTAAAAATCTGTTCAATTTAAAACACAACATCTCAAGAGTCAGATTTTCACTAAATAATAGTTTAGGTATAAAAATGGCAAAAATCTAGAAAACTATTTGAAAAGAGGAGATTCACTATTTTCTGTATGAGAAACTTCTGGAATGTTTTCTTCACTGTGTAAAGTGACAGGATAAGGTCAGTGTTTTAGGATATGTTTTGTCGTACAGCTACATCTCTGCCGTTTTGTCTTTCGCTTCTCCCGTTCACCTTCAATCTGATCCGTTCTGGCAGCCTTTTAAATACAGTTCGTCCTGCGACAGGTGTCCGTCAAAGCTGTCCATGTAGAGGCTGCTGGTGCTGCTGCCACTGCTGCCGAGGAACGTGCCGACCGCCCGGCCCTGGCGAGCGTGACCGACGGCGTCGCTGAACACTTTGTTGATCTGCTCCTCTGACGGCATCCACCAGTCTGGGTTTGAGGCACAGTGCATCCGGATGAACTCTGACACAGAGATTGTAAATAAAAAAATTAAAAAAACATATCAAATATATATATTTCCTTTTTTATCATTAGAAACTGGAGACAGCATTGGTTTATGGCAGGGTTCATTTTGAGCGTTACAGCTACAGACAGTTTGCTGATGAAGTTAACGGAGCTAAAAAGAGTGATAAGCAACAATAAATACATGAAATAATGGTGTAAACATTAATCTTAAATGCAGAGTTGACATGATGGTTGGTGAGGGGATCAGGATGAGACGATAAATTATGGAGGAAAGAGGAGTTACAGATTATGATCAGCCAATGTTAATGATTATTTTTATGTCTTGAAATACCATATACCATATATTTCCGTTGTATCTTTTCTTGACACCTTTTAATGTCTAATGTAAAACACTGTGTTGAACCACAAGGCGTGTTTCAACACCTCGTCTTTTCTGTTAAGTCTGATCATACATAACTGAGGACGTGTGAACAGGAAAAGGACATGTGTCTGATCTTAGATAACTTGTGAAGAAAACACATCATAGTCTGCTTCCTGTGTTTCATTGTTTAACAGAATCAATGATCTCATAGAGTAAAATAACTTCTCAAATCTCAAACATGGATCCTAGAAGAGGTTTGTTCCAAGTAGATTAAAACAATCGTTCAAACACTCGGTTATACTTTATTTTCTTGAAGTGTGACGCAAACACTCGGGTTGTACCTCTGAGGCAGCTGACTTTGACGGGGTTGAGCGGTCGTCTCTCCAAGCCCGGCTCCCCTGAGTGGACTGAACGCTTCCTCTTCCCCAAACCACAGGAGAACTTCAGCTCGTCCGTGGTGAAGACGTAGCGTATCAGGTAGCGCAGCAGCCGACGGCCGTCTTTCTTGGAGGAGTTGACGGCTTCATCCCACTGCTTGTTGGAGATGAACAGAGGGTAGTTCTCCAGGAGCTGTTTACTGCCCTGCAGGGAGGAGGGAGGTGCAGTGAGTAAGTATCAGTCCCCTCAACACAAGCTTTTTCATCAAGGTCCATCAGATATTCTCTGAGAAATGAACAAAAATGTTGAAAAATGCCCTGCAATGTGTAAGAAAGTGGGAAAAAGTTCCTGAATCTGATCCAACTCCACACCAAAATGTAATTGGCTCTTCCTTAGGTCATGCCCCACTCCCTCCACAAAATGTAATTGACATCGGTTCAGTGGTTTTTGCATCATCCTGCTCACGAACAAACAAACACAGATAAAAACATAACCTCCTCGGTGGAGGTAAAAATAAAAAGTGTTAAAATGAAAAACACCAACCTCAAACACCGTTTGCCGCTCTTCCTCCTGTGGACACAGTTTTCTTTTACTTATTTGTACAATTCAAATGAATTAAAACATTATTATCGCAGGACGGAAGTGTTCTGTTATTTTTAGACTTTATCATGATGCTAAAAATAACTTTAAAGAGCCGTGACTGATGTGAAGGAAACCGTCTCCTCACCTCTGTGAGCTGCTCCTCCGGCAGCGGCTGGATCAGCTGGTTGTGAAACTCCAGAACAGTCTTGAAGTAGTCGAGAACATTTTGACAAGGAGCTGCGTTAATAAAAACACAACCACATATATAAGCTAATGTGACCAGTAATACAAACACACTGTCAGAATGTCTTGCAAAGAGACGACACATCTGATGTATAATTAAAGAATAATAAATAATCTTGCATTATTTTCTTCCCTCATAAAAACTCATTCTGACTCTAATGTCATGTAATTTACTGATCAGTGTGAGACAGCACTGTGTCAGAGTTTAATGTGCAGCTGCGGGATGAGCAGTTTATGTCAATTAAGTTAGTGAGACTCTGGGGAGCAGAAAAGTTCAGCTATTAAAACTTGTTGCGAACTCTGTCAAACAGTAAATTACATGTGGCTGCTTGAAAAGTGAAAACACAGAAGATTAACGTGTGATTGAAAACTGTCCCCGTAAATACACTATTGAGTTCTGTTTGAATAATGAGTGTTCTTTTAAAACTGCAGCTGCTTTTGTTTTTTAATTCAAAAGTATATTTATGACCAGTATTAAAGATTTGTGTGGTTAGTAGGAAAAGCTGGACTTGGAGCTGAGTGAAATGAAAAAGTGTCAATCTTATCCTCTATACAGTAGCTAGGATGATTATCTACATGGTTGCACAGCTCCAGAAGTTCCAGCTCCAGATGTGTAGTACAATATGTAATATTGCATATGTACAATATGGACATTTTTATGCTATTTCATGTTAACATGTAAGAAAACTCTAACATTTCATAAAGTAAAATGTTTCAGTTAGGTGAAAAATAGAACCTTGATTAAATGAGCGAAGTAATTCTCAAAGAATTACTCAATTGACTTAGGAGCAAACGCTGTATATAACGCACCCCTCAATTAATGCTAACTTTTTGATACTAACCTAACTATGACATCATTTATACCATGATGTCAAGGATTGGTTGATTTAAATTACATGCAGATCGTGTCTCTGATGTCATTGGTTATGATACATATTTATGATTTTTAGATATTTATCTATATAAGCTTTAGATCACGTTTATTGTCCAACAGGATCCAGAGATACCAGGAAAAACCCATTTTTGAAATACTCATGATGTCATATGATGAGTTATATTGTTATGACCAATAATAGAGATTGTGTCTCTAGGTCTGTTGTTTGCAGAAATTGTTTGGATAATGTGTTTTTTTTCTCTTGACCTTTGACCTTTTAACTCTAAAATCATCTGGAGATACCAGAAGATTATATGTATGTTGAGTTATTCAGTCCACATACACACGACGGTGAAAACAATTCTTTTTGTGCAGCTACATCAGCAGGCCGAGATATTAAACAAAGAACTAACAGGCAGATGAATCAATAAAGGCTATTTCAACCTGAGGGTGTAGAAACAAATGAAATCTAATGTTTCCACACACATGGGATTCATGGAATGTGTTATTTAGGATGAAAATGAATCATGAACTGTGGCGGTCGCAGTCACCACAGATCAAACTAGAACACAAGGGATTTTGTTTTTTGCTTTCTTTACTCCACCTGGAATGTTCTCCAGCTTGTTGCGGAGCTCCTCGTTCTCCTGCTGCAGAGACAAAACCTCCTGCTCCAGCTCCAGGCAGCGTGGACAGCAGTTCTCCTCCTCCTCTTCCTCCTCGGGCAGCGTGGACGATGGATGGCCGTACGACTCTGATGGAGTCGGTGAGCCCCAGCCTCCCAGAGTGTGTCTCGGAGGAGAGACCCCCGAACCGGGCTCTGCCGTCGGACACCGCTCGTCCTCCAGACCTGCAGCCAGATGCTGCTGCTGCTGCTGCTGCTGCTGAGGCCCTGAGAGGAGATAGCTCTGTAGGGAGTCTGTGAAGATGCGGAGAACGGCAGAGGTCTGTTGTTGGTTCAGATGGCTTTGTTGAGCCTCCTCCTCTGGGTCCGTGGTCGACGAGCTTTCTTCGGGTTTGGGCTTCCCCAGTGAGGAGCAGTGAAGCCCCTGAGCGTCCTCCAGCTTGATGTTGGAGGCGAAGGAGGAGGAAGGCTCCAGGAGACGGCCGTTGTTGAGGAGGCTGAGGACTCGGCTGCACTGCTGAGCAAAGGCATCCAAGATGAGACGGTTTTCTGCGGCAGAGGAGAAATCACAATAACAAAGAGCTAAAGTGGTATTTCATCTCAACATCAGTCAATGTTATATCCTCAGAAACATTCAGCCCAGGGTCCATTGAGGAGCTTTAACCACATCACTGGGTCCTCATCAGCAGATTGAGTTTTTCTCAATTCCTAGGAAAGGAAATGGGAAGTAAAAATGAGGCACAAAGAACTCACTTCCTCAGTGTGAAAAATGAATATCCTCATTTAAAGTGTCATGGCAATTAAGTAAACTCTGCTAATGAGGACGGAGATACGGTTAAATCTGATGAGACGCCGGAGCAGTGGAAACACTCAGGCCAGACTTTGTCTTAGTGTAATAATGACATTTCCTAATGACAACAAATGATTGGTGGATTTAAATAAGATGTACATCCGGTCTCTAATCGTATTGGTTGCAAAGGTTAAAGCATTTCTTCACTACATGACATAATCTTCTCACTTCATAGTGATGTAATGATGACATCATTCCTACAATATGATCAGGAATTATTTTTTGATCTATATAATCTTCATGTTGTGTCGACAGAATGCAGCGGGACCTTGAAAAATGCATTTTGATTATTTGAAGACATTGTTATGTTTTTTTTATTCCAAAATCTTAATCCAAGATTGAATCCAGCAGAAGATTCAAAAGTTTTTTCATTTTTCCCTCTGAAATGTATCAAAGTAGAAAGTAGTTGAAGCTGAAAATACTTGAGCAGATATAATTAGTTACATGTAAAGGGAAGCAAAACACTGATCCTCAGCGATGGAGACAATATGAATGATTCTCTGTTCTTTTATGCTTCACTGCTTCTGCTTCCTCTTTCCTTCTTTTTAATCGAGCCCTGTCGAGCCAAACATTTCCATAACTGTAGCGTACAGTCGGCTCCTCTGTTGATACAAATGTCAGCTTGATTATGCTGATTTATTCAGATATCAATAAACTCTAAAGTCACAGCGTCGGCTGCGACCGAACCCGGCAGAGCAGAGAAAATCAGCACAGAGCTATTGTCCAGAAACACGCCTCAGTCAGTGTATAGTTTCCCTGGTAGTCAAGGCACGTCTGGGTGAGATGATCTCACACATACCTCCATGCAATGATTATGAGTCCACTGGCCTCACACACACACACACACACACAGATAAAATTAGTTCTAGATGGCCACTGCTGCGTTGCCACTCGCTCAGACGTGTCTATCAGCCTGGTGCAGATGTGTCGCATTTATTAATATGCGTGCTGTCTCTGTTTACCCGTCGAGATGTATCTGATATCATTCGCCTTCACCCTGCACCCCCCTCCCCTCCTCTCTCACCGGCTCTGTGGCACTGCGAGCTGAGAGCCTCATAAAATTTCATTAAAAACAACACGCTCGGCAGAGGCAAATTTATGAGCCCCATTTATTTTAATCACAACTCTTTGGGAAAAGGCTTTTCAATACAATTTGTGTTATTGTGCGCCGAAGCGGTCGCTCAGTCCCCGGCTCTCTGGTGCTTCTCCCAATGAGAAGGGCATCAATTTTTTCTGTTTGTTTGGCAGATGCTGTTTGAACCCAGGTGTGTGCGGCCAATAATGCTATTTACACCCAGGGTGGTTAGTGATGGTGGAGATTTACACCCAGTTTTCAGGCTCTCGTGAAACATTTCAACGAGCCACGAGAGAGACGTTCTGGCAGGAAGGTTTTCTAACACATGGTTAATATGTGTGTTTTCACCAAAACCATCATCTCTCTTTAACACAAACCAAGAAATGCTGTTGCTCAAACCAAATTGCTACTGAAAGATTCGGATCAGTGTCAACATCAACTTTAGATTTCAACCAGAAGTTGAATTCTGGTTTCTTGGGTGAAAATCTTGTGCTTAACTCAATCATCCATCATGACCGTACAGACTGTCGCTCTTTATACAACCTCACCTGACTCAACCAAAAGCTTTCTGCAAGAAAAGTCCCCGACACGTGCAGATGTTCGGAACACCACCCGGCTTATGGCACTTAAGCGGCAGTTTGCAGCGATTTGTGCCTTTTGTACGCCATTCATAAACAAACAGGCACCTGATGGATGGAAGAAAACAAGGCTCTTATTGAGACATTAAATCAACAGGTGTAAATATCCAAAAAGCTGCTATGTGACTTCTCACCCGGGTGCAAATATACACAAATATTTGCCGACCACCTCAGGTGCAAATAGCGTTGTTGGCTACAAACACCTGGGTACAAATATCATCAAAACTAGTTTTTCTTTGAGACGTGATGCAGCTCCCACCCTGCAGATAAAAACACTTGAATGTGTCACTGACAGTAAGAACACAGCACGATTCTCAGGGACCGAATCAGCAGATTCATTAGAGCAGGGAAATATGGTTTGTGGTTTTGTTCCACAGGTGAAATCAGGAACACGTGCACCTAAGAATGGATGGAAACAATGGGTGATTATCTCCAAATTGGGGTGGGGGGGTGTTCACGTGTAAGTGTTAATAAAGGGCGACGGTGCAACCTGAGCTCACACTGAACACTTGATTGCCTGTAAAGCAACAATAACCAGCAGCAAATTGAGCCTCGGCTGCCGACGGCGATAAAGAGATTCATATCTGTTGAGAGGATGATGATGATGATGATGATAGAACTATAATCTGTTTAATTTCAGAACTGCCAGGATTGGGTTCAACGCTTTCATCTGGTTCCCATGGACCCTCCCTGGGAACAACATTTCTTCTTCCTGAGCCTGTAGAGCCCTTAATGAACAGCAGCTGAGGAGAGAAAATGAGCAGGGAACAATGTGTTTCAACAGGAGACACACGTAAACACACACACACACACACACACACACACACACACACACACACACACTCCTGGACAGACAATTACCCAATGTAATTTTTAGCACAGGCACACTGGAGATTCAATCATGACTGCTCTCATCACAGCAGCAAATCAATCACTTGCTGACAGGAGGCACAGGAGGAAGAGACAGCAACATGAAGCTCAGGTGATGAGGAGCAAACAAAAGAGACTCTGTCCTTTAATTAGACAATGTTGTGTTTCCCATTCAAGCACTGACTTGTGAAAAACACCCAGAACACAGTGAGATCAGTGTGGAGACATGTGGATGAGTGAAGTCCCAACGAGGAGCACACCTCCACTGTGGAGAAGTTTGAGACTCACCTGAGCTGATGCTGTAGCTGCAGTCTGGAGACAATCTGGGCTCCGCTCCGCTGACGCGCCGCTGTTGCGCACCCAGAGAGGCTGTGGATGTGGGGACCCTGCTGCTGGGCCTGCTCTCACATGGGAAGCGATGCTGCTGCTGCTGCTGCTGGGGCGTCGGGTGATGCTGCTGGATGCTGCTGCTGCTGCTGATGGCGACGGTGGTCTGGTGGAGCGGCTGCACACGCTGCTGCTGCTGGTGGTGGTGTTGCTGCTGCTGCTGCTGCTGCTGGTGGTGGTGGTGGTTGTGGTGAGGCTGGAAATGATGAGGCTGCTCAGGGTGAAAAGTGAAGTGATGTCCGTCGCCAAACAGAGGCACCTCCACCACAGCAGCCGACCTGTCAAAGCGCGACTTGCCCGCCGAGCGCTTGCTCTGGAAGGGCTTCAGGCTGCTGTACGGACCCCGCTCCTGTCGGCACATCTTCGGCGCGCAGGGCCCTTCGTCCGCGGGCTGCATCTCTCCCTCCATCCCAGGAGCAGGTGGACGGCTTCGGGGGATCGGTGTCTGTCGGTGACGGCGTGACAGGCAGCTGAGGAGCGGGAGAGGAAGCTCCGTCACCGTCTGGATCAGTTTCCCTCACACACACCGCGCGCAGGAGGCGGAGGCTGATCCAGATACTGACGCGCCACCGCTCCAATCCCCAGCCGGCTGCTCCGACACTGAGCCTCCTCCACTGGGACTCAGGGACCTGCCTCCTTCGCAGCCCACATCCAGAGAACAACAAGGGCTACAGCAGCTCAACCATCCGACTGGAGAAAAAAACAGAAAACAGACAAATCCTACAAATGAAGAGGCAGAGGCCATTTTGCTCCTGAAGCTCAAAGCAAAGGACAAATGACAGAGAAGCTTCAGTTCACATCAAACACCAGGAGCCTATAGACACACTGCATATTTACATTTACAGACATTTTGACTGATTTTAATTATAGACTGGCTGAAAATAAATAATCTAACAATGAATTTAAAAAAGGTTTAGTCATTTTAGTCTCTATTTACCTTCTATACTCCCTGATTAGATTCAAATAAACGAACATTACAATTGTATTCTCTCTTTGACTTCCAACCTCCGTGATTAGAGCATTAACGTTTCAAAATCAATCATTTTGCTCTCTCTTTGCTTTCAATGCACTTCCCTGAAAGGATAAAATAAACTATCTTTATAATTTAAAAATTTTATTCTCTATTTGCCTTCAATACGATAAAATAAACTACCATTATCAGATAAAACAATAATTTAGTCTCTATTTACCTTCCATGCTCCTAT